TTTTTTGAGACAGAGTCTCATACTGTTGCTGGAGTGCAATAGTTTGATATCAACTCACTGCGACCTCCGCCTCCCGGGTTCATGTGATTCTCCTGCCTCAGCATCCTGAGTAGCTGGGATTACAGGCACACACCACCACGCCTGGCTAATTTTTTGTATTTTTAGGAGAGATGGGGTTTCACTATGTTGGCCAGGCTGGTCTTGAACTCCTGACCTTATGATCCACCCACCTCAGCCTCCCAAAGTGCTGGGATTACCGGCGTGAGCTACTGCACCCAGCCCGTTTTTTTGTTTGTTTGTTTGTTTTTTTTAATGGATGAGAGGTTTCTGTGTTGCCCAGGCTGGCCTCAAATGCCTAGCCTCCTCATGCTCCAGGACAACAGAACTGAGCCACCACGGCTCCCTGTATACCTTTCAAAATTCAAGTAGTAGAGGTGGAAAACAGATTAGTAGTTGCCAGGGGTTACTGGAGGAGAGAGGGGTGAATGTGACTAAAAAAGGGTAGCAAGAAAGATCTTTGTAGTGGTGAAATAGTGCCATATCTTGACGGTTACACAAATCTACATGTGACAAAATGAAAAAGGACATATACACACTTTATACCAATCCCAGTTTCCTGGTTGTGGGTTCTATAGTTATGTAAGATGTAGCCAGTGGGAGACGCTGGGGGACGCAGACAGTCCAGAGAGACACAGGAACTCTGGACTATCCTTGCAACTTCCTGTGAATCTATAATTATTTTAAAATAAAAAGTTGGCAGGGTGCAGTGGCTCACGCCTGTAATCCCAGCACTTTGGGAGGCCTAGGTGGGCGGATCACGACGTCAGGAGTTCAAGAGCAGCCTAACCAACATGGTGAAACCCCATCTCTACTAAAAATACAAAAATTAGCCAGGCGTGGTAGCGCACACCTGTAATCCTCACCTACTCCGGGATGTTGAGGCAGGAGAATCACTTGAACCCAGAAGGTGGAGGTTGCAATAAGCTGAGATCACGCCACTGGCACTCCAGCCTGGGCAACAGAGCAAGACTCCATCTCAAAAAAAAATAAATAAATAAAGTTAAAGTCATAATAATAATAAATGCTTGTGATGTGTGGACGTACTAAAGAAAATTTTTTAAAAGGAAAGAAAAAGCTTTCCCACTGCCCCCATCCACTGGCTCATCCAATAGGTACTGGCTGGTATATGTCCAGGGAAGGAGTGCTGGGGTGCAGGAAAGTATCTCAGGCAAAGGGAGCCGTGAGCTCAGAGACGAGAGTGGCAGGAGAAGCAACAATAGGCTGGAGACCTCGACAGGGGAGCCAGGCTAGGAGCTTTGGAAGATCTACGGCACACTGACCATGGGGAGAGGTGGTAAGACAGGCTTTTAATCTTTACTCTATAGGCTTCTATTCTCTTTGAGTTGTTTATAAGCATGTTTTGTGTATTGTTTGTCTTTAACGGAGATCATTTTTTTAATTAAAATATGTCACTCTGAAAGCTGTATGGAGAAGGGACTGGGAGTGCTGAAGAAGTGTTTCAGGGTAGGATGAAGGTTACTTGTACCAGGTCAGATATGGTACATGAAACACAGGGACATTGATGGATTTGGAGGTAGAGTCAACATGAGCTTGTGACCAGCTCAGGATGGAGGGCTAGGAGTCAGAGGTGACCCTGGGTTTCCAGCATGTAAGAGAACCACTGGGGGCAGTCACAGGAACAGCCTACCTCATTCATTGCTTAGTCTACAAATAGTCATTAGTATGGACTGTGGACACAGGCCCTCAGGATGTAGGTTTGCCTTGAAGGCAAACCAAGACATCTCAGGGCTTGGGGAGCTCACAGCCCAGAAGGCAGGGCAGGGGGGGCTCAGATGTTTTGAGAATCCTCTCAAACAAATATCAAATTGGACCTACAACAGCAGCTCTAGGGAGAGGTTCTCAAGTGAATCCATACCTATGCCCACACTTCTGTTGGGCAGGTGACTTGCCATGCTGTGATTGGATGTGTATTTACTTGGCTATCACAGTCTCCTTCAGAGGACTGGAAGCCCCATGGGGTCAGGTCTTGTTTACTGCTGCATTTCCTGTTCCTTTGATATAGCAACAGTCAACAGTTGTTGAGAGAATGGAGAGCACAGAAGGTGATTTGTGTGGGAGGGGCTCAAATCCTGGCTCTACCTCTCCAAGCCTCAGTTTCCTCCTCTGCAACCATAAAGTTGTGAAGGGTTAACTGAGGCAATGCTTAGCAGGGAGTCAACTCTCGAAATGGTGTGGGTCCTATTATGGGGGAGATGGTGAGTCTGATTTTAGATGTGATGTCCAAAAAGCAGCTGGGCAAGAGAGTGGGAAGGTCTGAAAAGAAGGCTGGGCTAGAGACAGATCTGAGAGTCGACAGACAAGGAGAAAATCCCTGAGGCCATGGGAGTCAGTGAGCCCCACAAACACTCATATTTGAAGGGAGGAGAATAGGGAGGAGGGAGAGGAGCCAGCGAAGGAAGTTCAGAGCCAACAGCCACAGAAATGAAAGGGAAACCAAGAGAGCATGGTGAAAGAGAAGCCAAGAGACACAGTTGCAAGGGGGCAGGGAAGGTGGTAGCATCAGGTGGAGGGTCTGCACCCTGCCAATGGGCTAAATGAACCTTACTCCTGTAGTCTGCAAATGTACATTGAACATCAGCTGGAGCTAGGCCTTGGGAATGGCTGGGCAAGGGGTGAGCCGTGCAGAAGTGAGCAGAGCAGGCTAAACCATGTGGAAGGGAAAACGGGCTGCCAGGCCCCTGCACACCTAACTCCCTCCAGCTGCTGTTGGAGCCCACTTCATCCTGTGCTGCCTGGGGCACTCTGACCCCTGCCTAGCTTCCGGTCAGGGCCTGGCACACACTGGGGATCACTCAAGGCTTGCAGCACTGCACTTAGAGAATGCAGCAAACGCAGGAGTGTCCCTCACTGGCTGACTCCCTTCGACCACATCTCTCCACCCCATTTTCAAACCCCTACCCAACTTACCTCACCACAGACCAGCCGGAGCCCCTCCTCCTCCTCCTGCCACTTCACCTTCAGAGTGGCCAGTGATTGGACTTGGTCTGAGTCAGGCCCTGACTCCTCCCTGCCAACCAATCAGAGTGGTGCTCAGTGTCCCCCTATTCACCCAAGTGCCCAAAGGCACCCAAGGGATGCTACATGAAAAGCCTAAAACAAGAGCCATTAACTTCCGCCTGGGAAGATGGAAGCCACCAAGCTAGTAAAGGAAAAGGCAAGTCTAGAAATGAGCTGTCCATGACTCCTCTGCTCCAAGATTCCCCTAGGCCTTGGCCAAGGACGCTTCTCAAGAAGCACCTCCCAGCTCTGAGCCCCAACCCATTCCTGGGTCTCATCTTTACTCCCTCTTTGGAATAGGTAGCAAGACCCGTTCTTTAGGCATCAGGTAAGGAACAGGGAAATGGAAAAAGACTGAGAAGGGGAAAAGAGTATGGGGTGGGAGGGGAAGGGATGGGACAAATGCAGAGAGATGGACAAAGAAAGGTGGAGGGGAAAGAGATTCTAAGCAGCTGGCCTGTGAGAAGGCCAAGGGCCTGCCTCTCCCCGACCCCCACCACCCCTGGGCAGCAGCCAGGGGCTGATGAGGCACTAGAGAGAGAATGAACCCAGCACAGGCAGCAGGGGCAGGGCCACAGCACAGGCAGCCCTTTGTGACCAGGAACACGTACACACACTCACCAGGGGCCCTGGTGGGTGGCGGCAGTGACACTGTTTGGCTCCGGCTGCAGCTTCTTTGAGAACTTGTCCAGCAGCTCAGCCTTCTCTAAGAGATGGTTATCTGGGGGTTGCAAGAGGATGAGCCTGGGGCAGAGACAGATACCTAGCAGCCTCCTGGCATGCAAGTTCCCTCAGGCTGGGAGGGCTGCAGGAGCCCAGAGATGCTAGCGATGGGGAAGCTTCTGTCAGGCTGGCCTCTGCCCTGTGCCTGAGGGGCATCTGTTCAGCCCTACAGGACCTTCAGCCCTAGCAGTGTCCTCATAGCACAGGTCCCCAGGCCCACCCAGAACAGGACCTGCTCTCCCAGGGACAGAAGGATGATCACTGCGGGGTACTGCCCACTGAGGGTCCTGAGGGAAGGAAAGGGCATGGGGTTGATTCATTCCTGCCTCAGAGCAAGGCTTAGTCCCAGAAAGTGATGAAACAGAGCTCCACCTGTCAATGGCCTTTGGCAAGTCACTTCCCCTCCTGGGCTCTAGCTCTCTGCACTTAAAAATCATCCCAACTTCCCCAGGGCTGGTGTAAGGTACCCCTAGGCCGGAATAGAAAGTCCTTGGGCAATTATCCAGCAGACCTTCTGGAGGTTTGACCCTGGAACACACCCCCTCCCCCATCCACAGTCACTTCCTCTTTTCTCACCAGTTCCAGGGGAGGGTGGGGTGGTAAGCCCAGGCCTAGCTCCCTCCTCATCAACTTCCTTCCCACACCCAGTGCCCTGTCACCTTGACTGAGGCTCCGGGGCCTGGCCTCGTTCTCACACAAACCCCACCTCAGCCGCCAGGGCACTGCACCCCCCAACAAACCTAAAGGTCTCCATACCCAATTAAGAGGTAAGAAGACTGAGGCTTAAGGATGTGACCTGCCCAAGACCTCAAGACTGTCCCTTCGGTCTGATTTCAGCCCTCCAGGTCTCTTCAGTCCCTCAGATTCACAGCTCCTTGAGAGTTGGGGGGTGGGGGTGACCCCTCCCTCAAACTGGACGGTTCCACTGTCCATCTGAGCAGTGGAAAAACGTGGCTGCTGGAGGTGGGGGCTGGCCTCGCAACCCTGAAGGTAGAGGCAGCAGCCTGGAAGCTTGCAGAGAAATTTTCCTGGATAAGAGCAGATTCGGCTGTTGGGGGTTGGCCAAGTTTAGCCCCAGTCAGAGAGCCGCTGGGATTGTGGTTAGACTTCCAGTCCCAGACATACAGTCTCAGGTGACCAGAGGCGCGACACACTGGCACACCTGTTCAACCCGTCTTGAACTTCCACACCCCATCCTGACCAGCTGCCCAGAGACAATTCTGAGAGAGTCCGACTTGCCTGGGCTCAGCCAGCATCCGCCCGCGGCTCGGGGGCCCCCTGGTGTCCCCTCAGGCTGGGTAGGCTGATGGGGAGGTGCTCCATAAGCCTGCGCTAGCGTCGCCTGTGGGCGGCAGAGCCTGAGATGCACAGCCTCCTCCTTAGAGGTTCTGAGTGTCACCCCTCTCCGGATGGGCCAATAAGTGGCGGCTCTGGACAAGTCCCGCGTTCTTTCACTGTGCTACCCAGACCAAGTGCACTGATCAAACCCCTACCCAGGGGACCGCCCGGGAGGGGAGGCACAAGAGACTCTGCAAGACCAACACCTGGGGACGCACTTGCGCCTAGGAAGCCCAGCTCGTGGGAGGCAGGGCCCCGTCCTGAGGGACGAGGGCAGGGGGGCGAGGAGGGGTTCGTCCAGGTTCTAAGAAGAGCCTGGATGGCAAGGGGCGGAGTCCTGGCAGTCAGAGTGGGCGTAACGCACAGGCTCAAGCCATAAGGCAAGGCGCACTCGGGTCACCGGCGGAGGAACCAGCCAAACCCTCTCCCCGCGCCCGGAGCCGCGTCCCCTCAGCGGCCATCCTCTCAGCCCCCGGGCGCACTCACAGGCCGGCACCAGCTCCAGGAAGAGCGCCTTTTGCGTGCGGTCCCGAAGCCGTAACTGCCGCACGATGTGGCGTTTCCAGCGGGCTGCGGGGGCGCCGGGGACCCGGGGCCCAGCCATGGCCGAGTTCTCCCGCCTCGCGGCGTGCTCCTCCCGCCCGGGACGGCGCCGGGCCGCGGCGGGACGTCGCGGGGACTCCGTGACGCCAGGGGGCGGGCGGCGGCGGGGAATCCCCGGCTTGTCCCAAGAGCGCTCTGGCTGGAAGGGCCGAAGGCCGACGCTGGTGGAGGCCGCTTCGGGGTCTGCACCGCCGGGGCCCGTCCGAAATGTTCACCCAAGTAGGGGCTCCTGCGGCTGCGAGGGTCATAAGCCGGAGCGAGGTCGGAGCCTTCGGGACGGCTTCCCCCACGCAGTGGCCCGTTCCGGAGGCGGGGCCTTCAAGGCCCGGGTCTCTTAACCCCGCCGCGCCCGGGCCGAGTCCGAGAGCCGGCGACGCTCCCCACGCCACCGCGGGCCCGGCGGAGCGCCCAGCCGGACCTGGAGGCCCTCAGTCCTCGGCTGTCTGCGGACACTGAGGGCGCGCAGGCGAGCTAAGGAGGCAGAGACGGGAAGGAGGAATCCCCGTTTTCCGAGGACGATGGCGTTAGAGTTGGGTCTGTGAGGGATTGAAATAGGAGTTGACCAGAGGGAGACTCTAGGCCTCGAGAAGAGCACATGCACAGGTTCCGTGGCACAAAAACACCCGGTGGGTGCCGGGCTGAGAGGACAAGAGGCAAAAAGTTTAGGGCTCTACATGGTCGCTGAAATTTTAGGTCCCTGAGAGTAAAGGGATGCAGCTGGTTTCATCTGGAAAGCCCCTGGCCCGGAGGAGAGAAGGGCCTTGCTTGCCTGGGGTTGCAAGACAGTGGGTGGCTGAGACGGCCAGCACCCCAGTGACCTGACCCAGGGCCCCACGCTTCACCCCATTGGGCAGCCTCTGGTGGAGCAGACACATGTATTGTGGGTACCCGTGAAAGTGAATCATGGGTCGCAGGGATCTATGGTCAAACTGCCTCTAGCTATGTGGCTACCCCCAGCTTTGAAGGCCCAGGCTCCTGGGAGACACGAAAGGAGGGACTCGTTGCACACAGCCTCACCCTGGGGCATGCCAGGAGGCCCTGCCCTCTGAGTGCTGGCAGAGCTGGCCATCCCTAGGAAACGAGAGAAATCGGGCAACGCTGGGAGGGCAGTGCAGGCCCTGGAGGAGATGAGTCTGTTGAGATTCTGATGGGGACAGGTCAGAGGATTTAGAAAGCGACGAAGGCCCAGACACCCCAGGACAGTGTGGCCTGCTCTGCTTCCTCAGTGAGCTGGGCTCAGTCCCCCACATGTCATCGTCTTAGATACCCATGGCCTTTGCACAGGCGGAGCCTGATGTTTGGAACACCATCCGGTCTAGGGAGCCTGGCTTCTAACCATGCACCTCCTCCAGGAGTACTTGCCTACCCCTACACTGAGTTCAAGCTTCTCAAACACCAGCCCCAGCTGGGTTCGAGTTACAACTGTCACCAGTTATCACACCATCCTGTGATCTATGCGGTGCCCCTTGGGACAGGACCTGGGTCCCAGGTGTCTCTGCACCTCTAGCCCCAGCCCAGGCCTGACCTGTCTGTTGAAGGAGTATTTCTGTGTTAGATGGGTGGCAACGTTCCACAAAAGGCATGCCCAGGAGACAGGCACGGTACCCATGGAGACCCAGGGCCAGTTGGTGGCAGTGATGAATTCCCTTTAGAATTGGCTCTTGGGTGCTTGGAGACACTATATAAATAAGGAACTCTGGTTGTGTGCATTGGAGAGCATATTAACAGGGCTCAACTTGGCTGTGAGGTGCCGAGATGCTGTTTCTCTCAGGTAAGGAGTCATATTGGGCAGGGTTTTCTAATCCTTTTTTGACTCACAGAATACACCTAGGAAATGTTGAATAATTAGTCATTTTTGGATAGTATATGATAAAGAAGTGATTGATTTTCACTAAAAATATTCATGTTCTATTTTTAGAACATGAAAGATCGTATTATAAAGGTCACTTCAAATAAAATTTTAGCTAACATTCATAATATATGGAGACAAATTTTTGCTTTTTACATTTAACTTGCTGTTTAATGTGTCTCAAATAATTATGTAAAAGAAATATGATTTGACCAATAAATGTACAAAATTGTTATACCGTGATTTGTCGACCTAATGGTACTTCACTTTTTTGGTTCTGTTTTGTTTTTGACACAGGGTCTCTCTCTGTTGCCCAGGCCGGAGTGCAGTGGCGCAGTCATGGCTCACTGCGGCCTCATCCTCCTGGGATTAAATGATCCTTCCACCTCAGTCTTCCAAGTAACTCAGACTATATATAGACACATGTCACCACCATACCTGGCTCTTTTTTTTTTTTTTTTTTGTTTCAGGGTCTCACTCTGTCACCCAGGCTAGAACGCAATGGCACAATCTCAGCTCATTGCAAGCCCCACCTCCCGGTTGCAGCAATTCTCGTGCATCCACCTCCCGAAGAGCTGAGATTACAGGTGCACGTCACCACATCCAGCTAATTTTTGTACTTTTAGTAGAGACAGGGTTTCGCCATGTTGGCCAGGTCATATTGGCTCCTGACCTCAAGTGATCTACCTACCTCGGCCTCCCAAAGTGCTAGGATTACAAGCATGAGCCACTGTGCCAGGCCGCCCAGCTCATTTTAAATTTTTCTGTAGAGAAAGGGTCTCACTATGTTGCCCAGGCTGGTCTCGAACTTCTGGGCTCAAGCCATCCTCCTGCCTTGGCCTCCCAAGTGCTAGTATTACAGGCATGAGCCACTGCACCTGGCCCTAAAGTACTTCAGAATATAGTTTTAAACTTGCATTTGGGTTAGGCATCTCCCAGAAGCTAGAGTGATTGTTCAAAAAAAATCAGGCCACGCGCAGTGGCTCACACCTGTAATCCCAGCACTTTGGGAGGCCACGGCGAGTGGATCACCTGAGGTTGGGAGTTCAAGACCAGTCTGACCAACATGGAGAAATGTTGAGATTCACTCAAGGTGGCTGGCAAAATATTAAAGGAAATATTATAGAAAAGTTATAAGATATAATCGCTAATGTTTTGGAAGGCCAAAAGGTTTTTATTAACTTATGGAACAAGCTGAAAGCAGCCAGTTCTTACATTAGAGCATTAAATCATAAGGTGAATATTAAAGATAATAAAAGCTTCCCTAGTCGTCTGTCTACCCCACATCTCTTTGTCTGTTTACTCATGTAAACTTTGTGCTGGATGGTCCGCTCAAGGGGAGGTCAAAAGGAATTACCTGTTAATAGTGTTTACTCTAGGCCCCAGAACCAAAAGCTTTTATCATTCATAAAACCACTCTTTAACCATGATAATTATCCACAAGCATGTTGACTTAGAACCTCTGTTATTAAATCTATAGTGAATAAATGTGAGGAGGAACAAGGAGTAGTAGTCAGTTAGCTGCAGCTGCCCTCTGAGAGCAGCTGAGGACCATCCCTAGCCCACTCCATTCACTGTATTCTAGTGTGTGTATGTACATTTATTCATCCATTGCTAAGTCAAAGTCTGCAGGATAGACCTCCACGGGTGGTGATCAGTGTCTCAGAGAAACCCCATCTCTACTAAAACTACAAAAATTAGCTGAGCATAGTGCACATGCCTATAATCTCACCCACTCGGGAGGCCGAGGCAGGAGAATCTCTTGAACCTGGGAGGCGGAGGTTGTGGTGAGCTGAGATTGCACCATTCCACTCCAGCCTGGACAATGAGAGCGAAACTCCGTCTCAAAACAAACAAGCAAACAAAAATAAGTTCAAGTTCCTCTTGCTTAGAACCCTTGAAGGCTTTCCAGCATAGTCAAAGCAAATCCCAAACACTTTACCATGGCCTTCAAGGCCCTGCTTCATCTGGTCCCTGCCTACATCGCTGACCTTACCTCTTCCTACTCTTTAACCTTATTCACTGCACTGAAATCCCACTGCCAAGCTTAGTCCCACCTTGGAGGCTTTGCCCTGACGGCACCCACTTCCTACTGTTCTTCCTCCACAACTTTTAGGGGCTGGCTCCTGCATAACAGGCAGATTTCAGAAGACCTTTCCTGTCACCCAGTCTGAGAAGGCCCCCATCCCAACCAGCATCTATCATATCACCCAGTTGTTCTTCTTTTCAGAGCACCTATTATTCCTAGAAAGAATCACATTTCTGTGTTTGTTACTTGTTTGTCACTGTCTCTTCTTCCAGGCTGGGAGCTTCAGGAATGCCAGAACCAAGTCAATCTTGATCTAGGCTCCGTCTTCAGCACCTAGCACTGGGTTTGGCCCCACCTGAGTTTGTAATCAGTAAATATGTATTGCTGTTGCTGTGGTATCAAAAAAAAAAAAAAAAAAAAAAAAAACACAGTTTTCATGGTCCAATGCTTAGAAGTTTTGAAATAAAAAATGTAGCTATTTTTTTGCCAGGTGCAGTGGCTCACACCTGTAATCCCAGCACTTTGGGAGGCCAAAGCAGTGGATCACTTGTGGTCAGGAGTTCAAGACCAGCCTGGCCAACATGGTGAAACCCTTCTCTACTAAAAATACAAAAATTAGCCAGGCATGGTGGCACGTGCCTGTAATCCCAGCTACTTGGGAGGCTGAGGCGGGAGAATCGCTTGAACCTGGGAGGCAGAGGTGTCAGGGAGCTGAGATTGTGCCATTGCGTTCCAGCCTGGGTGACAGAGCAAGACTCCGTCTCAAAAAAAAAAAAAAAAAGTAGCTATTTTTCTTTTTTTATTTTATTTATTTATTTTTATAGAGATGGGGTTTTACCATGTTGGTCAGCTGGTCTCAAACTCCTGACCTTGTGATCCATCTGCCTTGGCCTCCCAAAGTGCTGGGATTACAAGCGTAAGCCACAGTGCCCAGCCAAAAGTAGCTATTTTTCAAATTGGAAAACCAATCACATGCACATAGCAAAATATTAAAATAGTACAAAAGTGAGCCTGTATGCTTCACACCTTCATGTTGATGAGGACAGGACAGGCTGGTCTGTGGTCTTTTGGCAATTATTTAATACAGTAATGTCTTTTTTTTTTTTTTTTTTTGATGGAGTCTCGCTCTGTCACCCAGGCTGGAGTGCAATGGTACCATCTCAGCTCACTGCAACCTCTGCCTCCTGGGTTCAAGCAATTCTCCTGCCTCAGCCTCCCAAGTAGCTGGGACTACAGGCACAAAACACCATGCCCAGCTAACTTTTTGTATTTTAGTAGAGACAGGGTTTCACCATGTTGCCCAGGCC